TTTCTCCATTTCTCCGTGTGTGTGTGTCTGTCTGTCTGTCTGTCTGTCTGTCTGGCTGGCTGGCTGGCTGGCTGGCTGGCTGGCTGGCTGTCTGTCTGTCTGTCTGTCTGTCTGTCTGTCTGTCTGTCACATTCAGGTGGCAGTTGACACCGGCTTCCCCTGAATTGGTGACGAAGTGGGCCGAGGCCGGGCTTGAGCGTGCTGTAGAGTGAAGCGGAGCATCCAAGCCCATGCGGCCTCGAGCTGATTGCCATTGCCCCTTCAGTTCTTGTTTAAGCACCCCACGGCTACTTCGTGCAAGGGCTGAGGTGCACTGGATGCATGGCAATCTAGGGAGACTCAAGACCTAACAATCGAGGTTCATGCATCCATAAGTACTCGTGGTTTTTCTTTAATCATAGAGATAAAGATTGGTTTAAGAATTGTTTGCGTCCTAGCGCTGCAGGCTCTGGCGAAGCGCTTCGACAAGTTCAAGACGGCCCGGCGGCGGAGCTCCATGCGCGCCGGGGGCGGGCCGGAACTTGGGCCCAGGGTGATCCCTGCCCGGCTCAGGTACACGGCGGTGCAGCAGGACGACCTGAAGCAGCAGCTTGAGGCGGCTTGAGAGTCAGAGAGAGTCTGAGGTGGGGAGGTGTTCTTGTCCAGGCTGCCTCGCAGCAGCGGCGACCCTGGCGGCGCTTGCTGGCACTTCTGCCTTGTGCACGGGCCTCGGAGTCGAAAGGCTCGAAAGCCAGCGTTCTCTCTGCTTCTGGTAGGCCCCGCGACGGGACTTCTCTGAGGCAGTGCCAGGCTCAGATGGCAGAACCAGTCGAATTTGTTGGAGCGGCGATAGCAGAGGTCGGGGGCTCCTTCGTGCCTTACAGAGGGAGCCGGGAGGGCGTGGGTGACCTGGTGCCTCGGCTTGCACCATCCACCACCATCCACCAGCATCCATCAGCACCAGCCCAGAAGTTAGAAGTTTCCTGAGGTGGACCAGGATGCCTTGAGCCAAGTGACAGATGCGGACCTCATGGAGGCCCCCGAATGTCCAGTTCCTCATCCTTGCAAGTCGACAGACTTGTGGCGTTCAGGCACAGGCTTTGCATTGGTCGGCGGGTGACTGAGCGGAAGTTCCACTTTGGAGCCCACCTAATCCCCCATCATACGAAAAATCCCGAATCAGAAGTATCTTGCCGACGATTGATGCTGAGCTGCTCGCGAGGGTCAGTCAGAAAGAGCGCCTTTTGCCTGCAGACCAGGATTTGGCGGTGACTTTCCTGCAGACCTGCAAGGGCCTCCCTGAGGAAAGCCATTGAAAGCTGCCCCAGCCTTTCCGTAGCTGCTGTAGCTGTTGCCACAAAGTAGGATCTGCTGCCGGACTTCCTCTACTCCGTGCGGAAGGGCGTGCCCGATGGCCTGAAGAGGCGCACTTGCGAGCTGCTGGCGCCGCGGTAGGCGAAGTGTAGCGCCCGGCAGGCTGATTTGGCCCCTCGCAGCTGGCCAAGCCTTGGCCTCGAAGGTCTCGGATGTGAACGCAGGCGGGGGGGGGGGGAAGTTTCCCGCTTGGAACCCTTTGGGCGGCCATGCGCAGATGATGTCTACAACAATCTGCTGGAACGGAGCTTTGGCGGTGTGCACCCGCACGAGTTCCAGGCCAGAAGATACCCAGAAACGATGTGACCCTTTCCGGCTGGCCCTCGGAGGATCCAGTCCCAACCTTCTGCCAAGGGGTGCAGGAGACCAAGTACTGCGAAAAGAGTGCTGAGAGGGCATAGTGGGGCCATCAGTCGCTCGTGCACTCATTTTTGTCTCGTGCTTCCGCTGCCGTGACTGTTCAAGCTCGAGCAACCCCAGCGCCTGCAGACTGGACCAGATCTCAGACTCAGATTTTGTAGTGTAGCAAAACTTTGGTTCACAGACGGCTGAGTCTTTCTGGGAGAGGCAGACAAAGCTGTTTGATCCCCGCGAACGATACTGTGCCTGGGCTGTACTTGCTGCTGGCGCTCAGAAGGCTCGCGTGCTCCCAACCCCCGGCTGCTAGCAGGAACACCATGGTGGAGTACCTCGATGTCGGCATGAGGCTGCATGCGATGTACAAGGAGGATGGTGGCTTGGTTTCATGTTGTCATGGTCTCAGGTTAGGAGATCCAAGCTGCAAGCCTAGGTGAATTTTATCCCGCCACCGTCGCGAGTATCAACCCAAAGAAGAAGAAGGCTCCTGTGAAGGCCCGTGGGCCGCTGGGGTAAGCCGAGAAGAACCGCCCCCCCCCCCCCCCCCCCTCGGGACTCTCCCTCTCCCATCCTCAGGTCCACTACACTGCCTACGGGGAGGAGGCCGATGCCTGGGTGTCCTTGGATATGCTCAAGTCCAAGGCGCCCCCGCCCCGCTTCTCGAGCGACCGCAAGTTGAGTTGTCTTTGTGCTTCTTCCGCAGGCTTTGCCGAAGGCTGCTAAGGCCGCCCCGGCCACCGAGAAGAAGACAGCTCCCAAAGCCAAGGCGCGCAGCCGTTCACGCGGCTCCGGCAAAATGAGCTTCTGTTATGTTCTTCGCAGGCCAAGGCTAAGGCGGCCCCAAAGCCGAAACCCATGGACTACTCGGCTGTGAAGCACCTTGTCCGACTTGGCTTCGTGGGTAGCTTTGGGGAAGATGTATGCCTACTACACATGGTTCTTTTTTGGTGATCCTGAGCTTGGGACTCTGCGTACGTGGATGCGGAAGGGTTTGCTGAAGTGATGCCTCCGTGGAAGGTCTGCGGATGAACAGGCTTGTAGAGCATAAGAGCTACGGGAATTGCACTGCAAGCTGCTAAACAACGAACTTCAAGCTCTACATACAGAAGCTTTGCTCTCAATGCAAGGAAAGGCATGCGCCTTCAGGCGGAAGCACCTCGGCCTTCCCTGGAGCATCGGCAAACATCCGAAATCTTCCTTACATCGCAAATAGATTCACAAGGCCGACGGAAAGTACTGGGCAGCGGAAGTGCCTTGGCACAGCAATCTTCCCTTTTGCCACACCTTGCGGGACTTGGTGTAGCGCCTAGGTCGTGGCCGTGAATACGAAGAAGAAGACACCTGTCAAGGCTGAGCTGGACTTGCAACTCCACTGCTCAACCATACCCTGGCTCATAAATTGCATCACCACCATCGTCAATAAGACCACTCTTCTCTTCGCCGACGCGGCGACCATGGTCGTCGTCGTGTCGTAAACTTCGTGATTCATGATGCTGGTGTTTGATTATCAGCCCCGGCCCGATTCTACTGTGGTTGATGCACATGCGACACCCGCTGTGTTGACAATCGTCCATACAGGGATTTGCAGTTCAAAGCACTTGCCATCCGGAGGTAAACTTCATCGGCTACGACAAGCAGTACGACGAGTGGCTCGGTGCAGACCGTCTCCGCTCCAAGGCGATTGTGCCGCTGAAGGAGAAGGACCGGCCTGCAGGTCGAAGAGAGATCGTATAGACCAGGTGAGTTGTTCTGCGGTCTTGTCCTTAGCAACCGTAGTATGTTCCGTCTCACCGGATGCCCTACCACAGAGCACATCACAGCAGAGCCGGTTTTCAAGCACTACCGACATGCTCTGGTCTGATAGACCGCTTGTTAAACTGATACCGACCTGCCTCCGCACATGCAAGAGGGAGGGTCCTTCTCGTGGCTTGAGTCCTGCCAGGAGGGATCCAAGGCAGGGTGGCGATTCTCGGAAAATTCGTTGTCACAGCTTGAGCATCCTGCTTCTGCAGGCCCCCTTTGGTGCCATCATGCCACCAATGGCAAAGAAGTACCTCCTTGTCAAGGCCAAGGTGGGCAACCCGAAAGGAGCTCCGCCCTTTGAGCCCTTGAGCCTTCGAGCTGAGCGCCCTTTGCTCCAGGTCAAGGCTCCCCTTGACCCAGGCCTCAAACTGCAGTGCATCGTCTCCGTCTGTTAGGAAAAAAGAGTCGTTTTGGCTTCCAGGCTTTTGCCCCTTGGTTCTGGCCAAGCAGAAGTACCTGGAGGCGACCAAGGACTGCATGCTGGGTATGTCAACTTCGCTCATCGCTTCTTGCACTTTGCGAGCTGCTTGCAGGAGTGCACCGACAAGATCATGTGGGCCTTGCCGCGCGAGGAGGGCTGCGCGCGCTACTCTCTGCCCGTTTTCCCGGAGACCAACAGGCCCCGTCCCCGCTCGGTTTGGTTGCTCCGTGCCTTCCACTGTCAAGCGCAGGGACTCCCGAGCTTCGGCCTACCTCGCGGGCGTCCTCATCCAGGAGCTTCGCAGCTCTGCCTCAGCCTGTAAACGCCTCCTTTTCAGCCAAGCTCGTGTGGAGGAGATGATCTGGCAGCGAAGTGACCCCAACTCAGCAGGACAGTTAGGCCTTGACGACGCGACGCAGAATGTCCCTTCCAAAAAGACTTGAGATCTCGGCCGAGCTTCTCCGAGGCCTCGAGCCTGATCCTCTGCGGGCCCCCCAAGATCTGTGCCTTGGCTGATCCGATCTCACTGCATTCTACTCCGTAACTTGTAACAATGAATGGTGACAGGCCAGTTCCTGCAGAAGTGCTACTCGGTTGGAGGCTACAGGGTCGGGGGCATGGCTGAAGCTTGCAAAGTTGATCTCGCTGGCAGGAGCTTACGAATTCGAGGTGAAGTCCATGCCCAACGCAGCTCGGCTACCTTCTGAAACTCCCGGAGCTTACGTTCGCAAAGCTCCCGAGCGCAGGTCTGCGGCACACCGGACAAGCCTTTCGAGGCTGGACTTCTTTGAGCATGAGCTTGTCGGTTGCAGATTATGCTTGTCTGTGCACGAGGTAAAGATTGTGGAAAAGGAGTCCGATATGCCCGCTGCATTCGACACACCTCAGGCTACCGCAAACTCGTATTTCGACGAAACTCGATGCTTTGTGCTGTATTGCCAGGTCTGTGGCAAGGATGCCAGTGGTTGCCGCCTTGCCTTTGATCTGGGCAAGAGTGGCTCGGCGAGAGGGAGAGGGAGAGAGAGAGAGAGCGAGAGAGAAAACCTTCTTGTGGGGCTGCCACCTCCTCTTACCCCGAGCAAAGCAAACCTTCTTGTAAAGCTTTCACACCAAGACAATGGCAACCAGGGCGCTCTCGCACGCAGGGGGTACGGGGATCCGTGCTCCTTTGGCTAAGAACCTTCTTCACGCCCAGTTGAGAGCGCGAGAGAGAGCGAGAGAGAGAGAGACAGACAGAGAGGGGCTTCACTGTCACCTGCTCTGCTTCCACGCGGACGGCAGCGTCGACGACCTCCGGTGTACCAAGGTGACATCAAGACGGTGGCTGTGAAGGACAACGATGTCGTGTACTCGAAGGAGACGGAGTGGGCCCATACCTCAGATCGGCCTTAGGATCACAAAGGCCTTTTGGTTCAGAGCTCAGAACTCTGTGAGGATGTGACCAACCCGGATCCCCAGTACCACTACGATGCGTCTCCCGGCAAAGACTTTGAGGGGCCTCACAGGCCAGTGCCCTGTGCCTGCATCCTGCATCCTGCGAGGATCCTCGCGGCATTGAAGCTGGCCAAGGAGACGCTGCCCAAGGCCCCTCCTCTTGCCTTTGGTTAGTAGGGAATGGAAGAATGGTAGTAATGGTACTTATAATAGTTCCCATTCCTCCATTCCCTACTAACCAAAGGTAAGTCCTTCTGTCCCATCTGGCCCCCTGGCCTTCGGCTGCAGTGTCTAGGTCGATGCCATTGGTGGCAGCGCTACCGGGACCGTGTCGGCCCACAACGAGGCGGGGAAAGCTCCAGCAGTCGCAATTCAAAGCCGCTCTTCGGCAACCGAGGCGACCTGGTGCGACATTTTCCCTAACGTCCCACCGGATGTGTACAAGGCCAAGGTGGTCGTCGGCTCAGAGGCCACGGGGTGCAAGGACATACGGACCGCTGTGTGACTGAGGTGGACATCTTCGTGAGATTGGGTAAGGAGATCGCTGGAGACGTACCGCTGAAGGTCATCAACGATGGAGAGGCAACAGGGCCTTCAACAGGCAGTGCCGGCGCCTGACCTGGCTGCACGGGCCCTTGCCACACCAGGTCACGGCCCTGGCGGCAGTGCAGAAGATCAAATCTGGAAATGCGTGGACCCTTTTGTTGAGAGCATGCGGAGCAGTGGCGGAGGAGACGATGATGAGCATTGTGGTGGTTTGCTGTTGCGGGGCACCAGGTCATGGGCATTTCCATGGGAAGCAGCGAGGGTGCCGGTGCGGAGCCTCAGAGATTCCAGCGAGAAGGCAAATCGGAGGCCTCAGACTTCCAGAATTTTGATTTCTGGCTTCAGGCTATGCCAACGCAGACGGGAACCTCATGGGCTGGATCAGCGAGTGCGGGTCCTTGTGGCTTCCCAGGTTTCCAGACACGGGTTCCCCGCCTCCGCAGAGCCAAACAGAGCTTGGCGCCTTGCGCTGCACCGATTCCCGAAAGGCTTTCTAAGGTATGCGCCCAGATGACTTGCAGAGTCAGCTGTGCGACAAATGCGGCTTGTCCCAAGTCGCGGGTGCATGTTTTGCATGGGCTTGCTCAGGCTCTGCTACTGCCGTCTGGACCTCAACCCGAAGGCCGAGAATGCCCAAGACCTGTGGGCTTGGTGGCCTTGCTGCCTTCTGCCCTCCTTCGCCAGGCCCCCACAGATCCCTGGTCCAAGGGAGCCCACAGGCGCCTCAGCCTTCCTCTCTTGAACTTCGATGCATCCTGTGCTTCAGGGGCCTGAGCCACATGTACCTGGGACAGCGCGGCACCACGAAGTTGGCGGCCAAGGGCGGCGTCGAGGTCCCTGCCAACTACAAGTTCTGGCCTCGGATCCAGGATTCAATTCAGCAGAGCGGGGTCTTGGGCTCACTGAAAGCCGGTGCTTGAAAACTCGAGGTACCCGCATCCCGACATGGTCACCATCAAGCACGAGAACCACGCGCAGTGCCTCAAGCTGCCTGAGACCGAGACCCCAGACGTTCCACCAGCTCATTCCGATGCAGCTTGTGCATGAAGGATCCAGGAAGCAATGAAGACGGACAAGGAGCCTGAGGTTCGCGCAGCAACAGCATGAGTGTGAAGATCCGCCGAATCTATTGGATGGCAACAAGCGACCGGTGTAATGTGCTTGTGGCGGCGACGACACGCGGGTGCTGTGTGTGCGTCTGTGTGTCTGTGTGTGGATGTGTGTGGGGGTGGGGGAGTGTGGGTGGGTGGGGGTTGGGGTACGGGTGGGTTTGGGGGTGGGGGTGGTGGGTGGGTGGGCGGGTGTGCGTGGGTGGGTGGAGGTTCGGAAAATCTACGAGACCGTGGGCGTATACCTCGGCTATGCTCTGGCACAGTGCCCTTGCTTTGAGAGGCGTTCCATTCCTACCACAGATCCTTGAACCCTTTGTCCGCAAAAAAGGTACAGTGAGTTCTACAAGATCGATCATGTCATGATCTTGGGACGAGTCAGCAAGGGCAAGGCTGCCCCATGCTGCCTACCCTCGTGGAGTTCTTGTGTTTCGGCATGACCCGAGATACAGATTCGCTTTCGCAGATCCTGCTCGCAGGGTGGAGACATCATGCTTGACACAGCCAAGAAGGTCCTTCAGGAAGAGTTCCCACAGTTCTCTCACATCACGCGCCTTGCTTGCACAGAGAGCCGCAGCCGTCACATGGATATGAGACAAGTCTGAGAGGTTCCACACGGCCGACGACCACTTCAAGGCAAGACGCCACGAGACGCGGAAGTCCGAACGAAATGCTTTCTGCCGAGGCCGTAGGACAGTGCATCGCCGCAGCGGCGCTGCCCGAGTTGAAGTGCGGAGCTCTGTCAAAGGGAGGACGGATACATTTTGGGAGTTCGCTTTGGGATTTACGGAGCGGGCGTCTCTTTATCTCGAACTGTTGTGCGTCTCTGGCCACTGCAGAGTTGAAGGAGAGGGAGTGCTGTGGAGCCTCTGTATTTGAGAGATGCGCTGACTCGGTCATTTCCGAGGTAAGATGGTGAAGCTGGAGACTCTGCAGGCCTGCCATGGTTCACGGACCAGAAGCTTCTGGGCGAGTGTCCATGCAGGACGAGGGATCTATGTTTTATAGCTTGAGATCGTTTCTGGCGCATGGCTGGACCAGAGCATTCCACGACAGGCAGATACCGTCTAGTAAACAAGCAAAGAGCATCTCTGTAACAGAACATGGGCGCGGGTGTGTGTATGTATGTATATATATATATATGTATGCACATGCATGTGTGCACACCGAAAAATGTATGAAGCCCATACACGTTTCTGCACAACACAAGCACACACAGTGTCAGAGATTGCTGTACCCAACCGCAAGTGGAAGCTATTCAGCCACGTGTATGGTCCTCTATATGAGAGCTTTTGACAGAGACCGCAGACCGCCTGCGCCACGGCATCGGAAAAAAGGGTGGCTTATGCCCCGCCGAGAATCTGCTGCATGCGCCGCAGGAACGTTAAGCCCCCACCCGAAAGGGTCGCGTTCTGCAGCATGCATCGCTCCGAGGCAGGGCGTCGAGGATGCGCCGGCGCTGAGCGCAGCAGCGGCCTCAGAGGTGGGCTTCGCCCCTGTCTTTTGTTGGGCGGGTGGGTAGTCGTTCCTTCCCTCGTCCGTCGTTGGGTCGGTCGTTCGTTCGTTGTTCCTGTGATTGTGTGAGTGTGCGTGTTCCCTTTTGTTCGGGTGTGACTCCGAGGGCCACAGCGGTCTGTTTGTGCCTGCGTTCGCACATCCTTCCAGAGACGTAATCAGCTTGTTGAGATGAGAAGTCTATGCGCCTCGTCCGCTGTGTTTACGCAAGGTCGTGAAGCATCTGTGGCTTCTGAAGCCACAGGGACAGCATACACTGAGACGACTCCTCTGGGTGCCTGCCCCAGTTCGGTGAACTTGAAATCTCTCACCGGGTACAGCTTCGGAAGGCCGGGCCGGTTTGCTGTTTTGAGGTGTCGCAGCTCACGAGCAACCATGTGGAGCTGGAGCTCTCAGCGGCTTTTCACAGAGGCCCGGCAATTCGGCCAGCCGTAGCTGCCGTAGCTCCAGGTTCTGCCCCTTCCTGCCGAATTTGATGGCCACACTGCTTTCCTTCTTTACCGAAGTCCCGCTCCCAGATTCCGACAGCGAGCACAGCAATTGTGGGAATGCGAAAGCCCAAAGGCCGAGACCATGTTCATTGTCCGCGAGCTGCTGCTGGAGGCGGCTTCTTCTTTGGATCGCGTCGAAGCATTGCCTTCTCCGTGAGGCGGAGAACGCCGCCGGAGGAGTCCTGGCCTCGGAGACACACGGGGAGTCTCAAGGATTATCAAGTGCTGGGCTTCTGAGTTGGGAGCCCGGTCTCAAGGAAAGCCCGAAGATCATCCTGAACCTCAGCCAGATGCAGAAGCAGGCGCCAAGGGTGCTGCACCTTCCCCGACATTCACCAGTGCATGCATCCGTGTATAATGTCAAGAGAATATATATGTATATATATATATTTATATAGATAGATAGATAGATAGTATAAGAAGTATAAGTTGTAACTGCATGTGATTCCGGTTCATCATATATCTTAATCACACCCCCTCGTTTGGCGGTTTCGTTGCACCATATGTCTTAAACCTTCCCCCTCATCGTCATTCGGCGATCCCGGGCATATACCTTAGACACCCACCTCATTTCCTAAACACGCCCCCTCATTTGGCGATCCCGGTTGATCAGATATCTTCATCACGTCCAGTCCTTCGCCCCCTCGATTGGCGATTCGGTGCATCATGTATCCTAAACAGGCCCCCTCTATCTCAAACACGCCGCCACCGTGAACCTATAATGCTCCTGGAATTGCTGCGAGGTTCCGGCTCCGACAGTATTACGAGTATTGGCATCAGTGACTATCATCCCCCTATCCTCCGAGCTTTGCCCTTAGCTTGAGTGGTGGTATGAGTACTAGTAGTCGTACTAGCAAAGATATTGTTAACCCCAGCACTGACACCGTCAGGGAGGCTCTTTGGGACTCTCAAGTCATCCAGAGTATTCTGAAAGGTTGACTCGGCATGCAGGCCTAAATCAAGCCTGTCACTCTTCACCCATGTGTTTGGGGCTTTCAAGTGGGAGCCGTTTTCCCGAATATCAAGGTTGAACTCAACACTCCAAGGCAGCATCAGCCCATTGATGGCATGTTTCTCTGAGATCCTGGACGTAAATGGCAAATTACACATTGTGTCAGTGTTCTTCTATACATGCAATGAAAACATTCAGCATACTACGGTCTTGCTGTTAACTACGGAAAGTACGTGAGTCTCACTGCGATCCAAAAGATCTCTTCGGTCCGATTCTCCCCCACAGGGCCGGCTCAAGGCAAGCTTGTACCGAGAAATGATTCCCGCGGAACCCTGCTAACAGACACCTTCGGCAATAGAGCTGAAGTTTCCAACGGAATCTGTTCTGGAATAAAGTCAACAACATCATAAAATTCCAGAATCCAAGTGCTCAATGCTATTGTCCTATCCAAACTACTCTATGGGTTAGAGTGATTCTCTCCAAACCTAGATGCTTTCCAGAACAAATCGCTGCAAAGAGTTTTGCACATCCCGCCCAGATGTCATGCTGTATGTATGACAAATTGCCACACGATTATCGATGGTCTTTTGAGCACTTTGCTGCGGACACGACGCGGCGCAATGCAAAATGCTGACTTGTTGGACACATTGTGATGTAGCCTTGCAGATCCTACAGTTCATGCATTCAGAATATACAAACAATCAGATGAAACAGATGCAGTCCCAAGGCCATCGGCCTCTCGAGGTATCTGTCAATGTAATTAATATCCTAATCTTTTCTTCGGCCAGCTGCTTATTTTTGTTTCTTAACAGCAGTGCTATTGTCTTGAAGGTAGTGTTTCCGTCGTCGTGTGCTGTTATGGTTTGTTCACAAACCTGACTGCGCTCGAAAGCAAATGTCTACACAAGTCTACATACGTACATATACACATACATACATACATACATACATACATACATACATACATACAGACACACACACACACACAGACAGACAGACAGACACTCACACACACGCGCACAGACAGACAGACAGACAGACAGACAGACAGACTGACTGACTGACTGACTGACTGACTGACTGACTGACTGACTGACTGACAGACTGACAGACTGACAGACTGACAGACTGACAGACTGACAGACTG